CTCGAGATCTTCAAGCTCCTCGCCGCCGTCCTCCACCTCGGCAACTGGAAGAAGAGTACGCAAACTTTTGTCATGTGTTGCGTGTGCGTGTGCGTGTGCGTGTGCGTGTGCGTGTGCGTGTGCGTGTGCGTGTGCGTGTGCGTATCGTTGACATTCGTGGACTCTGGCGTGATAGGCGGATCGGATGAGCCAATCCAAATCGCGGCGACGCTCCTCCAGTGCGACTTCGAGCTGATGAAGAAGTCCCTCCTGCAGCGCAAGATGGTGGCCGGCCGCGAAGTCTATTTTGTGGACATGGACGAGGAGCAGGCCGAAGGCGCACGCGACTCGCTCGCGATGCTTCTCTACTCAGCGCATGTTCGACTGGATCGTCGTTGCGCTTAACGACAACATCGAGAAGAACAAGAAGGCGTCGACGCTCAAGGAGGGCGAGGAGGAGGTCTTCATCGGCGTACTCGACATCTACGGCTTCGAGTCGTTCGAAGTCAACAGCTTCGAGCAGTTCTGCATCAACTACGCCAACGAAAAGGTTCGCATTCCAATGTGACACAACACACACACCACACACACCCCACACACACACGACACGACACGACACGACAACATGACACGACACACAATCAGCGTTGCTGACATTCTTCGTTGTTTGGGCGTGTAGTTGCAGCAGCAGTTCAACCAGCACATCTTCAAGCACGAGCAGCAGGAGTACCTGAAGGAGAAGCTCGACTGGTCCTACATCAACTTCAACGACAACCAGGAGTGTCTGGACCTCATCGAGCAAAAGCCGCTCGGCATTCTGTCGCTTCTGGACGAGGAGTGCCGCTTCCCCAAGGCCTCTGCCAGCACCTTTGCTCTCAAGCTCAAGCAGAACCACGCCAAGAACAAGTACGCCCCGCATTTCATGAGTGTCATTCGTTGTGTGCGTGTGCGGTCGTGCGTGTGCGATGTATGATTGTCGCTGGAATGCTAAGATTGCTGTGCTAGGTATTTCTCATCGGACCGATTCGCTGAGAGTTCCTTCACTGTATCCCACTATGCCGGCCGCGTCACCTACGACACCGCCACATTCCTCGGTACCACATATCGCTTGCACGCATCATATTCTATAATTGCATTGTTGTACACTTGCTGAACTGATCGCACGGTCTGTGCGTTGCAGACAAGAACAAGGACTACATTATCGAGGACCAGGTCAAGGTCATGCTCGAGAGCAAATCGGAGTTCGTGCGCGACGTCTTCAAGGCTCCGAAAGCCCAGCCCGCCCCCGCCGGTACCACGCCGCCACCGCTCGCCAGCCTTCTTTTGTTGTTTAAATGGTTGATTATTTATTTATTTATTTTTGTTTTTAAGGCCCGGCGTCGGGTCGGCAGGGAGGCAGGGACGGCGGGGGCAGCTCTTCGTTCAAGTTCGTGTCCGTCGCTGCTCAGTTCAGGGTTCGCTTTTTCTTCTTCGCTCGTTGAACCACGACACGACACGACACGACGACGACAGCGACAGCGACACGACACGACACGACACGACACGACACGACACGACACGACACGACACGACACGACGCGACACGACACGACCACACGACACACGCTCACTCTTAGTAACACAGGATTCGCTGTCGAGCCTGATGAACACCATCGGCAAGACCACTCCGCACTATGTGCGCTGTATCAAGCCCAATCCGCAGAAGAAGCCCGCCCTCTTCGACAAGCCCCAGGTGCTCCACCAACTTCGCTGCGGCGGCGTCCTCGAATCGGTACCCACACCCACTCCCACTCCCGATCCGCACCCAACCGACTCGTCGCTCACACCACCCGGCCAGGTGCGCATCAGCATGGCCGGCTACCCCGGTCGCCACAGCTACGACCAGTTTTATAAGCGGTACCGATTATTATGATAATATTTATTTAGTTAGTTATTTCATACGTATTTCCAATATATCATTTTTTATCATGTATTATTTATTTTTATCATATTATTTATTTTCTATTTGTTGGTGTTTGGTAGGTATCGCGTGCTGGCGCCGTCGGCCGGAAAGGACGCGGCGTCGCCGCAGGACGCCTGCAAGGATCTGGTGGGCGCGCTCAGCCTCGCCAAGCGCCACTACCAGTTTGGCATCACCAAGCTCTTCCTCAAGGGTGGTCAGGTAACCACAGCAAACACTTCCTGTGTGTCGTGCTGTGCTGTGTGCCGTGCCATGTGCGCGCAGAAGAAAGCTGATGGTGTGATTGTGTGACAGATCGCTGTGCTGGAGCGGAAACGCGGAGAAAAGCTGAGCGAGGCCGCGCTCAAGATCCAGAAGACGTGGCGCGGCTACAAGGACTTCCGCCGCTACCGCAACATCCTGCGCGCCGTCGTGCGTCTACAGACATGTACGCGTCGATCGCCACCTTGACCGCTCGCGCCACCGCCACCTTAAACAGATAACTAACAATGTTGTTGCAGTCGCCCGGTCGGTGGTGGCCAAGGGCAAGCTGCGCGGGTTGCGTGAGAACGCAGCGGCCACGAAGATCCAAACGGCCTCGCGCAGATTCATCGCGCGCTCGCGCTATCTCAAGCAGCGCAAGGCGCTCATCTACGTCCAACGCGTCTTTGTTGCCAAGCGCGAAAAGAGGCACGGCACACGGCACACGACACACACGACACACACGACACACACGACACAAACAAGATGACTAACTACGAAAAACAGAGCCTTGCGCGCGGAGCGCCGCGAGAAGGCGGCGGTGACCATCCAGACGCAGATTCGTGGACTCCTCAAGCGCAAGGAATTCCAGAAATACCGACACACCGTCATCGTTGCCCAGAACCTCTGGCGGTACCACCCCACTGTTCCCATGCAACCGCCGAACATCACTGATGCATGGCCTGGCACACCGCACACGCCGCACACAACACACCGCACACGCCGCACATGACAGGCAAAAGGTGGCGAAGCGCGAGCTTGCCGAGCTCAAGAAGGAGGCGCGGCAGCTGTCGACGGTGGTGGCGGCCAAGGCCGCGCTCGAGAACAAGGTCCAGGAGCTCGAGTGGCGCCTGTCGGCCGAGAACAAGATCAAGAAGAAGGTCGAGAAGGAGAACGCGCAGCTGCGCGACGAGCTCGACGAGCTGCGCCGAGCGCTGCGCGACGTCAAGCTGGCCGACGAGCGGCGCGGCAAGGAGGAGGACGAGCGGCGCGCGCGCAAGGAGAAGGCCGGGCGCGAGCAGGCGCGCAACCATGAGAAGGAGCTCGACGAGCTGCGGACCCGGCTCGCCGAAGAGGCCGAGCGCAGCGCCGGGCTGGCCCGCGAGCTGGCCGAGCTGCGCGAGGCGCGGGAGCGCGATCGGGTGGTGGCGACGGCCAGCCAGGCCGAGGGTGAGGAGGCCCAGCGGCTGCGCGAGGAGAACGAGCGCATGAAGGAACTCATGCGCGAGATGGAGGAGAAGATGGAGGCCGACGAGGAGGACTACGAGGCCAAGATCCTCGAGCTCCACCGCGAGCTCGAAAAGCTTCGGTTCGTCACCACTTTCCCGTGTGTGCGTGCTTCATCAACATTTGCTTACACGACATACACGACACACGACACACGACACACACAGAATTCGAAGCCCGCTAACGAAGACGGACGGTCGGAAGATGGAGACGCTTCAGAAGCGGATCAGCGACTTTTCGTCGATCAAGACCATCTCCGGAGAGAACGTGCCGACCCGTGGGTCCCCCCTGGGCGGCAGTGGCGGCGGCGGCTCGCCGCACCCGCGCGGCGGGCGCTCGCCCATGAGCCTGTCCCAGTCGAGCCTGCCCAGCGTGGCCGACGAGGTCAACACTACGCCGACCGCCTCCGGCCGGCCCCTGAGCCGGATCAGCAGCGACATCGAGCGCGACCGCCGGCGCCGGCGCAGCCTCACCTCCGCGGCTGCGGTCCCCACGTCGCGCCAACTGTCGTTCGACGAGCAGGCGGCTGCGGCTGCCACGTCAGCAGATCGACGCTCGCCCAAACGCAGTGCTCTTAAGGTCGCGGAGGCTGCTGACGTCAGCAGCACGCGGGCCGCGGATAAGAAGCGGGACGAGCGCGAGGCCTTCATGAAGCGGATCGAGCGCGAGATCGAGGCCGAGAAGGAGAAGGCGCGCGAGTTCGAGGAGCGGCGCAAGCAAAAGGCGGCGGCCGAGGCCGAGCACAAGCGCCAGACCGCCGCCGCTACCGCCGCCGATGTCGACGCGGTCGTCAATGTCGACACCCGCGCGGTCGAGCGCCAGCAGCTGCAGCCGGGCCACCGGCGCCCCGAGAAGCTGCGGAATGCGTCGACAGATAAGGTCAAGGCCAAGGTGGCGACCAAGGCCGAGCGTGCGCCGCAGGTCCTGCAGGTGGAGGCTGCCCAACCGCAGCCCCAGCAGTTGCAGCAGCTGCAGCCGGTGGCGATGATGGAGACGCGCCAGCACAGCCGCGGGGAGGAGTCGGAGAAGGCCAAGAAGCGGAGGGAGATCGAGCGGGACCTTCTCGAGAAGCTCCAGAAGAAGTACCGCGACCAGGAGTTCTCCCTCGTCGGCCTCGAGAACGAAGCCATCATGACCCTCCTCCCAGACCCCCGGTACCATTCGTCGCCTTTCGTTCTTCTTCGCTTTTGTTAGCGTCGTTTTTCGTTCTTCGCTTCGTTATTCGTTCTTTGCTGACCGCACGGGCTGGGCGGTACATAGGGATTCGACGTCGCAGGAGATGGTGCGGTTCCTGCTGTCCGAGCTCGAGCCGGGCTTCGTGTCGGGCGTCCCCGCGCCGGCGCTGATCATCTACTCCCTGTTCACCCACTGGCACATCTTCGCCCGCCCCGAAGCCAAGGTACCACACGCAGGCCCACCCCCTCTCTCCCATTGGTAAACCTCCGTCGCCAATGCACCGCGTTTGTCATGTGTCATTTGCGTGTGCGGCGTGTGTGTGTGTGTGTGTGTGTGTGTGTGTGTGTGTTGTAGGTGCACAAGAGCAAGGAGGACATCGTGCGCGGCCGGAATGAGATCCTGGCGCTGATCATCGAGGAGCTGTACCACACCGTACAAAAGAACTCTGGCGAGATCGAACTCATCATGTACACCCCTCTCACAAAGCCCCATCGCTCCCTCCCCCAGCTCTGACACGACACGACCGCACACGCATGACCGCACACGCGCACACTCGCACACGCACACACGCGCGTCGCATATGTCTGCAGATATTGGTTGTCCAATGTGTGCACGCTGTTCCACCTGGTGAGCGAGAAGCTGGCGGAGCTGAAGACCGCGGCCAAGGCCGAGAAGCGCCGGAAGGGCGCCGAGTTGGACAACGACGACCAAAAGAGCGAAAGCGAAAACGAAAACGAGAACGAAAGCGAAAGCGAAGACGAAGACGAAGAGGAGCTGTACACGGTGACCAGCTTCGACGACTTTGACGAGGCGCACGAGTTCGCGGTGTCGCCCGACCGCATCCGGCGGGCCACCACCTCCCCCGTGGCCTTCAAGCGTCAGCTGAGCGAGCTCGTGACCAAGCTCTACGCGCTCCTCCTCAAGCGGGCCTACGCCGACCTCGCCGACACCCTCCACGAGTCCGTCCTCGGCAAGAGCCTCGCCTCGCCCCGCAACCTCGCCGGCTCCCCTCAACGGTGCGTATCGTGTCGTGTCGTGTCGTGTGCTCTGTGCGGTGCGTGTCGTGTCGTGTCGTGTCGTGTGCCCTGTGCGGCGCGTGCGATCGCTGATGTGTGTGCGTGTGCGACGACGACGACGATGATGATTATAGGGCGATGAACACGATCCAGCCGGTGAAGGAGGTGCTGTCCAAGTACCTGCTGGGCCTGGTCCAGAACTTTGTGTTCCTTTCGCTCGTGCAGAAGTTCTTCGCGCAGGTCTTCTACTTCATCAACGCCACCCTCTTCAACGAGATCCTGCTCGTGCGCCAGCTGTGCACCGTCGACAAGGCGGTCGACATCAAAATGCACCTCGCCAACCTCGAGAGCTGGATCATCGAAGAGGGCGGCCTCTGGCTCGAGGTGCGCTCATCTGTGCGGTCGTGTGTGTGTCGTGTGTGTCGTGTGTCGTGTGTGTGTGTGTTCTTAGTTTGCGTGTGCGTGTGTGCGGTTTGTTGTGTAGAATGCCAAGGTGCAGCTGGAGCCGCTGCACGAGATCATCACGCTGCTGATGATGCCCAAGAAGCTCATCGTGTCGTCGGAGGAGCTGCGACACGAGGTCATCCCCCGCCTCAACTCCCTCCAGATCAAGCAGGTGCTCGCCATGTACACCCCCACCGGTACGTCATCACTCTCGCGCGTGTCGTCGTGCGCGTGCGGTCGGGCGAGTGCGGTCATGCGCTTGCGGTCGTGCGAGTGCGGTCGTTGAGTAGCGTGTGGGCGGGGGCGCGCGCAGATATGGAGGAGCGGCTGTCGATGTCGGACATCCAGAAGATGGACGCGGGCAAGGGCAACGAGGAGGCGGGCGACGAGTCGCTGCTGCTCGAAACGGCGCAGGTCTTCTCGCTGTCGTCCAAGGAGCTGCACTACCTCGAGCTCAACGACGCCAACAACATCCCCTTCCCCTTCGAGATCAAGCAGAAGGTCCACGAACTCATCGAAGAGGTACACGACACGACACGACACACACCGCACACGCAACACGACACGACACGACACACACCGCCGCACGCACGGCTTACATGAGAAAAAAATGTTGTGTGAGCAGGACATCTTGAAGCGGATGAGTATGGCCAAGGAGGTGATCAAGCAGGCCAAGGGCGCCGGGGTCTTGCGATCGCTGGTGGAAGCCGACGACGACGACGAGAAGGAGGCGGAGAGCGAAGGTGAGGCGGATGAGGCCGAGGCCGAGAGCGGGCTCGGGCGAACGGAGTCGTCGTCGACTGACGGCGTCGGCGGCGGTTCGAAGGACAACATCAGCCCGCGCGGGGCGGACGACCCCCAGAAGAAGATCACCCACTTCTGGTCCTCCTTCTTTGGCAAAGACCACCACTGAGCCCACAGAACGTTTAAAAAAAGTACTTTCTTCTCTTTTTTTTACAGCTTTATGACATGTGAGAAGATGAAATGAAAAAGATGAAAAGATGGAGGTGTGCGGCTATCCACACACGATGTCGAAGAGGCACCGTTGGTAAACTAAAATGAATAGGAGTTAAAAATCAAAGAGAGGAACGAAGACGAAGAGAAGAAAGACGAAGACGAAGGGGTGGAGGGTGGAGGCGGGCGAAGAGTCGGCGTTGCTGGGGTCGCCGGAACCCAACAGGACCGCGGGCGACGGGTCCAGGCTCACCTGCTTGTTCCATTCCTCATCGCTGATCGGGTGCTGCACAAGTTTAAATATTAGAAATATAACATGATATCCTATATCCTGTATATATTATCCAATATCTATATCTCTATATGCTCTGATGTGTTCGTGATTGGAGGGGTGGTACGTACGCCGACGAGTTGTTCGACGTCTGCTTTGGTGGGAACTGGGCCGGGCATCTCTCCGGACACGGCGACGGCGGGCGAGGCGGCCTGGGCCATCGCGACGGCGACGAAGGCCATCAGCAAGGCGAGAGCGAGGAGGATCAGCTTCATGATGATTCCTGGAGTGTGTGATGAAGTGTGGTGAAGAATAGAAATGATGAAGACCAAGAAGAAGGAGAAGGGAGCGCAGACTTGAGGTCGGTCCTGCAGCTTTGATCATGGCGCACAGTTGCGATTAGCCCGACACCCACCGTGAATTTCTACGATTTGCTCGAGTTTAAAGCTCGCTGGCCAATCGGCCTTTGGTTGCGTCGACGAAAAACTGGCGTCGTTTCGCCCAATTCTCGTTCCAGCCATTCCCGCTATGCAAAGTGAACATATTGTTCTGCAGATGGTGTGATGATGGTGGGCAGTAACCACCTCACACCACACAAGCTGAAGGAGAGAGGGCGGATGAAGTGGCGCAGTTGAGGGGTTGAACGAAAGAAGAAAGAATAGAACAAGAAGGATGAAGTTCCTGGTGGCCTACGACTCATCGGCCACGGCCAAGCACGCCCTTGAGCGCACCCTCGGCCTCCTCCACCGCGACAGAGACTCGGTGGTACGAAATACTATTTGAAATATATAGATATATAGATATCTACAAATAAATATAATATATATATATATATATTGTGCAGGTGGTGTTGATGATCTCAGAGCAGCTGCCCGAGTTGCTGTTGACGGAGGACACAGTGCAGCGGATCACCGCGGCCCGCCTCAACGACGCCATACGGGTCATGAAGTCCCTCAGCGACCTCCTCACGGCCGAACATGTGCGTTGTGGCTTCCGTTCTTTCAGACATGTGGACATTGAATGGTGATCACACACGACACGACCAACGACACGACACACACGACACGACACACACGATAGTGCACGAAACCATAGCCACGCCCGCGTATGACACAGCGCAGGAGATCCTGGACCAAGCCGCCGCGTGCGAGGCCGACATGATCGTCATGGGCTCTCGCGGCATGGGCACCATACAAGGGTACACCGCCTCCACACGCACACGCACACGCACACGCACACGCACACGCACACGCACACGCACACGCACACGCACACGCACACGCACACGCACGACACATGGACTGATCAGGGAGGCGGTGCCAGGTTGTTGTTGGGGAGCGTATCGCAGCGGTGCTTGAACGAGGCGAAGGTGCCGGTGATGGTGGTCCGTCAGGTCGTGCGGCCGGCCACGGTTGAGGTGTCGCCAGCGGCGGCCACGTCTGCGGTGCTCTGAGAGCTCGTTGCTGACGTGGCAAGGGAAAATGATTAAAAAAGATCTGCCACGTCAGCGCGTAAAAAGACACAAAGAGACAGATCTGCATCTCGCATCGCAGCTTCATCTTGCTCGCGATTTCTCGAAGACGACGGTCGAAGCAGCTGATGGCGATGGAGATGAGCGTAGAGGAACAGGAGCAGGAGACGATGCAGGCCATGAACGAGGCCGTGGGTATCGTGGAGGGTAAGGAACAGGCCACTCTGGATCTGCTGCTGGACATGTTGGGACGATTCCAGAAAGATGAAATGTTGAAGAAGGAGGCCGAGGCGTTCGTGCAGCAGGTGATGGAGGAGGAACAGGCAGAGAGCGCTGAGGAGCTGAGGAGAGCCGAGGCGGCCAAGGCTCAGACCGATGCATTCGAGAAGGAATGGGTGGAGCGCGTTCGAGGGAAGCTGCAAGTCGTGCAAGAGCAAGAAGGTAGTGTCGCCGTAGAGGTGGAGGTGGAGAAGGTGACAGCGACATCTGCAGCATCGAAGAGCTCGGTGCTCAGCGGATGGCGAGCAGCAACGGACAACGGAAATGGCGCGAAGAACGGCAAGAAGGCACAAATCAAGAAGCAACTCGAGATGGACGATGAATGGGCGCATTGGGCTGAAGATGACGACGATCACAGCCCCACCAAGCAGTAGCAACACCCATAACACCACCCCAGTCACCCATCTTGCATGATTATAAATAATTATTTCTTTACACCTTCTTCATCATCCTTGAGCAGACCTTCCATCTCTTCATCAGAAGTTGAAGCGGTACTTGCCGGCCGGCTTCTCGGGTCCTCGCGCGAGCACGTTCAGCGCGGCCTCCTCGAGGATCTTCTTGATCTCCGTCCGCGCCTCCTTGACCGACTGCTCGCTCGGCCCCTCGATGAAGAGGAACAGCTTGCGCTCGCCCGGCCCCGGCGTCTTGCCCGGCGGGAAGAACGTGCCGCGCGTCGTGATCGCCGCGCCCGTCAGCTCCGTGATCTGGTACAGCGCGTCCTTGTGCGTCACCTTCCATCGCGCCTGCTGCGGGTAGTCGTTGATCTCCAGGTCGCACTCAAAGTGCGTCGGCTCGGGCACGGCGGCGGCGGCGGGCGCGGCGGCGCCGGTGGGCAGGGGCAGGCCGCTCGGGCCGACGCCGCCGCCCGGGAGCAGACCACCGACGCCCGCGGGCATGGCGAGGTTGCGCTTGACGTGGAGGGCGAGGGTGGCGAGGAGGGCGGCGCGCTTGGCGGCCTCGATCTGGTTGGCGCTGGTGATGGCCCCGGGCGCGGCGCCGGCGGCGGCTGCGGCAGCGGCGGCGGCGGCCTGTTGGGCGGCCTGCTGCGCGTTGAGGATGGGCAGCACGGCGAGGAGCGAGTTGGCCGGGAGCACGCGCACGAGCTCGGGGATGGAGGTGAAGGCCACGGGCGGCAGGTCGCGCACGAGGTCGGGCGCTACCGAGCGGATGAGCCCGACGAGCATCACGACCGACGCGTCGGGCGGGGCCACCGGACCACCGCCACCGCCGCTGCTGACGATGCCGCCGGCGGCCGGGGTGGCACCGGGCACGACGGCGACGGGTGCGCCGGCGCCGACGGCTCGGATGGCGCCGTCGGTGGAGCCGCTGGCGCCCTCTTCGCCCTCCTCCTCGTCGGACGAGGACTCTTCGACGTCGATGTCGAGGTCGAGCGCCTTGCGCTGTCGCTTGCGCTCGGCCTTCTTCTTGTTGGCCTCGGACTCGTTGAACTGGAAGCCCTTGCCGCCGAACCCGCTGCCGTGGGCCTTGGCCAGGCCGGCCTTCTGCTTCGACAGAAAGTCGTCGGCCAGCTTCTTGAGCGACTCAGGAACCGACGCGCCGGACTGCTCGAGGGCCTTGACCAGGTCGGGCGCGTACTTGTCCTCGTCATCGGTGACGAACGTGTAGGCCCAGCCCTTGCGCCCGGCCCGGCCGGTGCGGCCGACGCGGTGCACGTAGTCCTCCATGTGGTTCGGGCAATCGTAGTTGACGACGAGGTTGAGGTCGGGCACGTCGAGGCCGCGCGCGACGACCGAGGTGGCGACGAGGATGGCGTTCTCGGTCTTCTTGAACTTGTTGATGGTGTGGTCGCGGTCGATCTGGTCCTGGCCGCCGTGGAGCGACATCACCGGAAACTTGCGCTTGAGCAGCTCGGCGAACAGCTCGTCGACGGACGACTGCGAGTCGACAAAGATGAGGATGCTGCCGCGGTCGTCCCACAGGTTGAGCAGCTCGAGCAGCCGCGGGAACTTGGACTCCTCGCTGCGCACCTCCACGTTCTGCTCGATGTCCGAGCACACCGTGCTGCGGGTGCCGACCACGATCTCGAGCGGCTTCTGCAGGATCTTGCGCGCGGCGGTCTCGACCGGCCGCGGGAAGGTGGCCGAGAACATGACGGTCTGGCGGTCGGGCCGCACGTTCTCGAGGATCTTCATGATCTGTGGCTCGAAGCCCATGTCGAACATGCGGTCGGCCTCGTCGAGCACGACGAACGTCACGCGGCGCAGGTTGCAGATGCGGCCGCTGTTGGTGCTGAGGATGTCGATCATGCGCCCGGGCGTGCACACGACGATCTCGGCGCCGGCCTTGAGCTTGGAGATCTGGTCGGCCACCACCGACCCGCCGTAGACGCAGATCGAGCGCAGGCCGATGCCCTTGCAGAACTTCTTGGCGTCTCGGTGGATCTGCAGCGCCAGCTCGCGCGTGGGCGCCATGATGAGGCCGATCGGACCCTCGCCGGGCTCGAGGTGCGGCTGGTCGAGGATGTGGCGCAGCATGGGCAGCAGGAACGCGAGCGTCTTGCCCGACCCCGTCTTGGCGCAGCCGATGAGGTCGCGCCCGGACATGATGGCGGGGATGGCCTGGGCCTGGATGGGCGTGGGCTTCTCGAAGCTGCTGTGCTTCATGACGGCGTAGATCTTCGACGAGAGGCCGCACTGCGAAAAGTCCTTGATGGGCCGGGGGCACTTGCGACCGCGCACCTTGAGATCCTCGAGCTGGTCGCGTCGATACTGCACCACGTCCTCCTTGGTCATCTTCTTGAGCTCGGGCACCTCGATGTAGAGATCCTTGCGGAATGGGATGTAGGCGATCTTGGAATGGTCGACGACGGGGATCTCCCTCTTCTTCTTGGCCGCCGCGGCCTTGTCGAGCGCCGATTCCTCCTCTACGGGGGCGGCCAATTCGCTCCAATCCTGATCCTCATCGTCCGCGTAGAACCGCTCGCCGAGCTTCGATCGCACCTGCTGCTTGTTCTGCTGCACCGCCGGCGCACTCGCGGCCGGGGCGACTCCCTCTACTCGCGTCACGATCTTGCGAGATGCGGAGCCGGCATCCTTCAACACGGTCGACACCGTCACCAGCTTCCTCACCTCCTGCTGGATGCCGGTCATGTAGGCGTCGAGCGGATCCACATCGTCCTCCTCCTCTGCCGCGGCTGCCGGTTGGGTGGAGGCTTCGATCTCCATCTTCGTCGGTGCTGGTGCTGGTGCTGCCTTCTCCTCGTCCATCTTGTCTCCATTCTCACCTCCCTCGACCTCTTCATCATCCTCTTCATCCTCGAGACTCCATTTCTTCTTCTCGCCATCTGCATTCGATGCATCTTCACCATCGGTTGCGGTTGTGGCAGGATCCTCCTTGATACCCAGCTGCTCGAGTTCGAGTCGCTTCTGGGCACGCCAGGCCTCAAGCTTCTCCTTCCTCTTGCGCATGACCTCCTCGAGCTTCTCCTCCTCGGCCTTCCTCTCCTCCTCTTCCTTTTTCTTCCTCTCCTCTTCAGTCAGCTCCTTCTCCTTGACATCTTTCTCGGCCCTCTCTCGCTGGGAATCGCTGCTGCTAGAATGCTTGCGATTGCTCTCTCGATCGCTACGATGCCGCCGAGATGGGCTGCGACTTCGGCTTCGCCTTCGTTTGGACGAGGACGACTTGCGATCCCTGTCTTTATCTCTCGAGCTGCCGTGTCGATCCGACTTCCTCTTCTTGCTGTCATCTCGCCTGCTGTGCTCATCCTTCGACGAAGAAACCGATTTGCTGCCACTACGACTGCTGCCGCTACCATCCTTTTCATCTTCGCGCTTCCGCTTCCTGTCCTCTTCACG